AATGTACAACACTCCTATGAGTGTTTGGAGCATCTTTATTTAGAAGTCTTAGAACAATTGGGGCATAGAAGCTTTCAGGTGGTCTTTGTAACATGTTTTGAAATAAATCGCGTGTGTGTGTGTACACACACACACACACACACACACACACAGACACCTCTTAAATAGAGACTCGTTTGTTGATTGGTCCATTCCAGATACCAAACTTCAGTGATGGTTTGGCTATAGGGTTCTTCTTCTGTGTGTGTTTAAATTCCCTGCCTTGTTTCCTGATTTGCAGTAATTATAATTTACTGTAATATTTTAATAAGGTAAAGTAAGGTTTTCATAAACCAGGTTTTCCCTTTAACGCAACATTGGTTACCCAATTCTACATACATCAGTTCCCTAAGTTTCTCATGTTTGTTTGTTTGTTTGTTTGTGGTCTAAGAAGACTATGGATGTAGAAATTATTATACCAAAATTCAGAATGTCAAGTGAAACTGATTGATAGTAGATTCAAGGCTTACAAAAGAACATGCTTTAACCAATGCACAATTAGTTTATGAAATTCCTAGTGTATATGTGGTGATAATCATTATAGTGATTTTTAAAATATTAGGTTTAGTCAGATTACTGTCCCTGTCTTCAAATCATGCAGGTAGTTGTTCTAACATACAGCTTTTATTCAAACTTCCAGCATAATGGGTGGACATTATAGAGAGAAATTAACAGGCCTAATGTGCATGCCCCATTTAGTATCCATCTTGGAACTTTATACATGTTCAGCTGAAGTTCTCAACAGAATTTAGGTCATGTGATTTATTGCATTCATATCCCATGTTTTCTTTGGAAATTCAGTGCTCCTACACTTTTCATACATGCTAGCTTATCTTTGCAGTGTTTGCATTTAACTTGGCCTTTTCATTGGATTAATTATATTTTCTTCTGTAAGTACTTAAAAAGTATAACTATATACAGTGTTTGTGTTAGTTTATGTTTATTTGTAGATATCTCTAATACTTGATCTTCTTACATGGTTTCTCTTTCAATTCTCCTAAAACACAGTTATTAACTGTCCAACATATACTGTGTAGAGAATGTCAGGAATGAATATAGGAGGAAAAAGTATATTGCCGAAAGTAGTTTTGCCTCAAGTCTTGAGTTGCACTCAAACTTCTTTCATACATGAGGCCACAGTGTGACATTGTTTAATATAAATGCAAGTGCTGCCCAGTGGGTAAGTGACAAGGATTTTGACATGCATCATCTAAATTGAGAATAAGCCAGGCAACATAGTACTGGCATAAGAATTCCTTGTATATTCAACTCAACCCTTTTTGTCTGCTTGTTAAGTGTGTCCACACTTTAAAAAATTACAAACCAAAGATTTAGAAAAATCAGATGCTAAAGCCGTCCTGGAATTTTAAAATTTTGAGTACATGTTAAGAATTACACATTTAGACATTCATTCACATCAAAGCTGGAAAGTCGGCATGTTAGAATGAAAGGTGGAAAATGGAAGGTGGCTTTAAGTTAACCCATCCTATTGTCAGAATATCTTAATTGTCATCTATATGTCTTAAGAATTGCTGCTGGAAAATTGGAATCATCTGGAAAGAGATTAAAGAGCTGTAAAGTCAGAATGACCTGTGGTACAAGCCAGAATCTTTCACCCTGGATCTTTCTTTCAAAGTGGCTGGTAATTTTGATACAGAGGATCATTTAGTCATGAGAATGTATTTCTGTGTTTTGAAATGCTGTAGTTGGAGAAAAATGCAAGCAGATGCTATATAATATGAATATGTAGATGAACTATGTCCATGGATCATATAGTATTGCTTATCCTAGTATTTAGATATTTTCAAGATCTACTGAAATATCTCTATTTAAATAGAATATATATAATTTTTCTTTCTTCTTTATTACAGAGATACGTAGGGCAATTTTATAAAGATCACCGTCATGGCAAAGGGATTTACTTTTGGCCTAATGGCTCCAAATTTACAGGTTCATTTTATCTTAATCGTAAAGAAGGCTATGGGACCATGGAATTTAAGGATGGAAAAAAATTTCAGGTAACCATAAAATTTTTCTAATAACAATTGCACTATGCAATAGTGTTTGTAAAATGAAGTTCGACAAATATTTGAGAAATTTTTTCTTTTCAAATCTATAAATGTTTTTAGGAGTAGCACATTTGTTTATTTATTTACAGGGCTTATAGACTGCCGATTTCTTTCATAGTGTTGCTGATCCTATTTTATTCCTTTTAAGTATTGCTTGAATAAATAAGGATGCAAAGAAATAAAAAAATGCATCCATTTCTGTTATTTGTCTATATTATCCTCTCATATCTTGTTTTGTTCTTGAACATTTTTCTTCCTCTAAAGGGGCTTTACAAGGCTGATGAGCGCTTTGGACCAGGAATTGAAACCTACCCAGACGATAGCCAAGATGTTGGCCTGTGGCATCGAAACCATATTATTAAACTATGTACAGAAATGCCAGAGCACTTTACTATTTCTGATTTCCCAGAACTCAATATCTATTTTGATGCTAGGTCTAAAGACCAGTTTATTTCAGAGGAAAGGAGTTCTATGTGGGACCTGAATGAAGAAAAGGATCCATTTTTCTACAGCTTCAAACGTCTTCTCTTAAATGACAGCTATACGTTGCCTGATAATATGTATATATATTCAACTGATGCAGATAATCTTCCACTTACTCACTCCTTCCTGAAAGAGTTTGATTTTCAATATTTTAAAAAAAGAAAACATCAGGCTTATGAAAAACCATGGCGTATAACCAACATAACTCCTATTCTGGTTACGATGCAGAAAAACATATATAAGTATAGGTAAGAACTGATAATTGCTTACATGAAAATGTGGTTGAAATTTTATTTTGTGTTGCTTTTTTATATGCCTTTTCAACCGAATAGTTTATACAATTCAATTAAGTGTGTTTTAAAAGTTTATACCAATTGCTTCGTTCTGTCCTTTCAATTGCTGATGAAATATAGCTTCTCCTTCACTTGGGCTCATAACTCATGCCAAAAAGCCTGCACAAGTCATTATTCTGCTCATTCCACCTTCCTTCTTCTACTGGTGGTACTGCTTATCAGGTACTCAAAAATATTATTTAAAAAATTATTTGAAATCTTGATTGATGGTTTTGTACCAATTCTCTCTCACACCTCAATTTCAGTTATCAGGAGTACTTTTATTTCTCATTAGCTTAAGGAGATTGGACAGAGGGATAGAGAGAGACAGAAGAAATAAGATGAGCCTAGTAGAAAGGCAGAGGGCCAATCTAGTCCAGCATTTTGTGATACACAGTGGCAACTGAAGAGGATTTGGGAAGTTCACAAACAAGGTCAGGAGGGCTACAGCCATCTTTCACTGGATGCTTCCTGTGGTTCAGGAGCTATGAAGATTAATAGCTAAAGATAGTCCAATTTTTCATGAGTCTATTGATCCTCTTAAAATCATCTAAATAGGTGGCCATCACTAGTTCTGATGGCAGTGAAGTTCCCTAGCTGTGTTGTTTTAAAAAGTACTTATTTTATTGGTCCTCAATTTCTCTGCATCTAGTTTAACTAATTGTTGAGTTCTAATACTGTGAAATGTGGTCAGATGGAGAGAACCATTAGAAGTCCTGTGTAAGTGAGTGTATGTGTGCATGTGTGTGTGTGTACATGCACACAAATTTGTTCTTCTGTGTCCCTGCACCCATTTTCTTAGTGTTTTTTCAAGAAGAGGAATAGTGAAAAATGTACTTCGCTTGGATGATTAATGTTTGTTTGTCTCTACCATTTTAGACTGGGAGTGAGCATTTACATGATTGATTGTTCTTCATATTAAATAAACACACTCATATGAGAGAGAGAGATTAAAGTCTTTTTCCCTCTTAGCTAATTTCCTGTGGAGAGGGAATATATTTTTTCATGCAGATGGAATATTGAATGAAGGGGGATACTCAGTCCTGTGATCTCTCATATATATCTGCAGTCTGTAATAAAACCTATAGACAGGATTACCATTTCACTAAGCATTAGACCAGAGATGGATAAGCTGAGATAAGTTAAAAACGACCTTGTCTTATCTTTCCATCTGACTAGCATGTCACAATACAAACACTGTACTCACATTGTCTTTCTAGCTTTTTTATGGCTTTGCTTACTTTTAGGCATTGTCAGAATGACATAGACTGGGATGTTAATGTCATTATGGAAGGCAACCGGCATGGTTTTGGAGCCAAAGGTCCCAAAGAGCTTATTGCTGAAGAGCTGATTGAGAAATCAGCAGAAGGAGCCTATAAAAGAGTTTATGAGATTCTGAGGGACAATCTGGCCCATCCAGATATAGCAGATATGCATGGATATACTGCTCTTGCTGCTGCTGCTGTAAGTTCTTGCTATATATTACGCTTTCTGGCACTGTGAAGTTGGAAGTGTGGGTAAAAGTACAACTGAATTTAATTTCCTTTTTTCTTTTTGTATTGTGAGAGTATTGTGCCATTTAAAACATGTTATATTAATTAATTTATTAAAAATATTTGTATATTGTTTCTTATTCTAAATCATCCTGAAATAATTTACAGTGATGATAGAAACAAGATTGTTGTTGTTTAGTCGTTAAGTCGTGTCCGACTCTTCGTGACCCCATGAAC